TTAATGCAATGGTTATACATGTGTGTGTGTGTGTGTGTGTGTGTGTGTGTGTGTGTGTGTGTCTGTGTGTGTGCGCACATGTATGTGTGTGTGTGCGTGTGTCTGTGTGTGCGCTTGTGTGCAGGTGTGTATGTGTGTCTGTGCGTTTGTGTGCAGGTGTGTACGTGAGTGGGAGACAGAGTGTGCCTATCTGCTCTGAACGACAAAAATATGAAGACAGGGATAGACTTTCATTCTAACAAAACAACACGAAAATCAAAACAAAAAAACAAAACAAAACAAAACTCACCGTCTCAGACGCGAAGAAGGAGTACACCTGTGAAAGAAAACGGAAGACAAAAAAACTTTGAAGTTAATCATAATCATGTTATGGTCACTTCGTATAAAGCATCCTCTCACTTAACCCTATCCGTACTTCGTGTTTTACTATCGTATCCATACGACGTGGGGAACTCTGTGCCACCACTTTCCAAAGAGGAAATTTACTCATTAATCCGATCCGTACGCTTTGCATAGCAGTCTGTCAAAATTATTTTATTTTTTTAGAAATACTGAAAGTTTCAAAGAGATCTTCGTGCTAGAAGTATTCTAAAATGTGAAGAATACAACCCAAGGGGCACAAAATGACCCCAGGGCGTACGGATAGGGTTAATCATAATAATAAATTACATTCGCATAGCACACATCCCCCACACAACATCAAACTCTATGCCCTTACAGTCTGTTGCCTTTCCACTAATTAACAAAATAACTTTTCGCCCTTCTGTAAGCGGGCACACGTTTAGTACATACATTTACTTTTGTCCTGTCCTCTGATTTACCTCTATTTGTTTTGCAAAGTATAAAATATCATTTATCAAATGAGATTAAATTGAAGGGTGACCTTATTTAGGCCACATATGGCCTAAATAAGCTAACCCCCCTCCCTTACCTTATTTAGGCCACATATGGCCTAAATAAGCTAAACCCCCCTCCCTTACCTTATTTAGGCCATATGTGGCCTAAATAAGCACTCCCTAAATTGAAATGGGACTTTGAAAAATTGGAATATTTTTAGATCAAAACATGTTATAGAATCAATCACATGTTGTATGACAACGACAGTGATGACGGTGCTCCTGAAGAAGCCTTCACTATTATAGTCTATGATGATGGGACTGATCAGCCCAGAGTTTTCCCACGTCTATTATGACGAGCTGTATCATCTCCTTGACTATAAGCCTCTTCATATGCTAAAAATATTCCAGTTATAGAACGGCGAACCTTGAAAACTCCCCTGAAACAACCCACTTTCAAGAGTGTGAGCGCCCGTAGAGGATTCAAACAAGGGCCATCCACACCATAGTCCAGCACAAAATAATTGGCCTAATGCTGCATTCTCCCCATCCCTTCCACCCTTCCCCCTTCCACCCTTCCCCCTTTCCACCTCACCCACCCTCTCACCCCATCCCCCCTCCCA